CCATGTAACTATGTAACTATGTAACTATGTAACCAGTCTGGAGCTTGCTGTATAGACCAGGCTAGGCTCTAACTCATAGAGATCCTCTTGTCTCTGCCTCCCAAGCGCTGGAACTTAAGGCTTGTGCCGCCACATGTGGGGGGCGCTGTCTCTCGCTGGTTGTCTTCTGCTACCAAGTCTCTCCATCTCTGCCTTCTGGGTGATGGTCATCTTGTTTCTCACCCCCCTCATTGACTCTTTCTCCTTGCCTGAGTATCAAGCTGTCTACTTATGGATGGTTTTTGTTTCTCTCTGTTTTCTTTTGTCTGTGATCCTGTATATCCACCCGTGTTTCTCTAGCTCCCTGGGCCCCTGTCTGTCTGTCTGCTTGTCTGTCTAGATCAGTACGCATGAGCGCATGTGTGAAATGTGTATGTTTTCTCTTGCATTCTCTCCCCTCAGGTCTCTCCCCTCTCTCCCTCCCTCTGCCTCAGTCCTCCTGACCTAATGCCTCCCCTCCTCCAAGCTGACCTTGCTTTAGCCCCCCATCAGGGTCTACAATGAGTCCCAAACTGCCCCAGGCTTGTGTTCCAGTTTTCCTTGGGGCCAGGAGTCCGGCTGTCCAAATATTTGGCCACCTCCAGGGGATTCCGGGTCGGCAGGGAGGAAGATGGGCTGGCTGGCGCAGGGTCTCCCCGGCCTCTAGGGGGCCACAGTCACGTGATGTCCTGTCCTCTGCCTCAGCAGGACCTCTGGCTGCACGTCCCTCTGAACAAGCTGGCAATGGAGTTGGAGGAGGGGCTGCTGCTGGCTCTGGCCAGCTTGGGGCAGGAGGTTCTGGCTGCAGTCTCTCTTAAGAACCAGCCTGAGCAAAGAGGGTCCAAGTTAAGGTGGGAGACGAGGCCAAGGTGTCTTGTAAGCATCTGCTGGTTGTCTAGGAAATGTTCCCCAGTCACAGGAAAGTCTACCTTCCGGTCCCAGCTGGGCTTCTCAGATCCTCCTAGGTACTTCCGGATAGCCAGAACATCAAGACACAGGCTACAGATCCCTGGGCCAAGGAGCAGAGGCTGAGGCATTGGAGTGGCCAGTGTATCAATGCTCCAGGCCATCACCTTTTCCCTGGCTTTGCCCGCTCTTGCACCTCGTCACACCATCGGTGCCAGTCACACACTGGCCACATGTTACACTGTCCTGTTCTGTGTGGTGATGATGGGATTCCAGTGGTAGGTACAGGACTGGGGTCTTCTACCACCAAAATGTGAAGTTGTGGCCTGGGGGAGGAACAAGGGGTCCCTGACTGTTCTAATAGCCTCCACTTGCTCTGCACCTCAATCTCTTACAGCAGCACCATCTCCCAGCAGTCACTGTGGCTATGTGTTAGGGACATAAAATTCAATATGTCAGCTGTGTACTGATGTCCCAGTAATGTACTCTTTGTTCAAGGATGGAGTCTTCTCTTTAAAATCAGGAGAAGCAGGCCAGCAGAGGGGTAGCTATCTAGAGGTACTCTGTCATAATTGCTAAACTAGGGAAAGCTTTTCCCACCTTGGAATCCCCAGTGATAGGCACGGTGACCCTTTACTCCAAGCAACCTACTTCTCACCAGGTCTTCCTTGGGCTGAGGTTAAGGCTGCCCAGGCCCATGTAGCCTGAGCTATGAAAATGAACTTCACGTGACACCCACAGCCCCATCAGAACATATGGCTGCCAGACTGGGAGAGGTACAGTCCACCTTGTAGCCAGCCCAGCCAGGCAGACCCACTTACGTCCCTGAGAAATGAGGAGAAAAGCAGGACCTAGGGACTGTGACGTAGACGAAAGCTGTGGTTCCCATAGTGGCTGATGCAAGCAGGCAGCCCATCCTGGCCTGGATTCCGGGGCCTAGAAGTCTTTAATTAGCCAAAGTCAACACCTGCTGAGGTGTGCCTGATGAATTCTCGCTCTGTGATGCCCGCGTGGGCAGGCGTTACTTGACGCACCATCCTGCTGATGCTGTCCCCCCATGCCCCCCCCCAGAATAAACAAGAGCAGTGGCCCGAGCCAGGCCATCAGTTGACTGCCTAGGCCCATGCTGCACTCATGACCAATGCCATTGCGATGGCCTGCCGGAGGGCTCATTGCTCTCTCCACCCCCAAGGCTTTCCCGTTCTTTGGACACCATGGCCTGCTCTTGAAAGTGAAGCCTCATGGAGCGCCCACATTCTGTCATTAGCTTTGGTCTAGCCTCACAGGACCCCTCGATATGAGGGGGCAATGAGGCCCTGGATGAGGGTGCTCTGTCCTTGCTGCACTGAGAGACTGATCCAGGCTAGGCGACAGTCCGTGGGACTGGCTCTGCTGGCAGCCTTCCTTAACCAGGCTTCTCACCTGGCTCCTGACACAAAGCAGAGGAGGAGACAGCCAAGGAGGTAGGCGCTGTATGAGACAAACTAGCAGCCTTAGGAAATACCTGAGGTCTACCTTATAGGGTCAAAGCTAGTCCCCAGTCTGGGGCTCTAGTCCCGAAACCTGCCTTCACTGAGGTACAGACCCTGACTTAATCCTTTAGGGCCCTGGAAGGTTTGTCTTCATGCTACCCTCACCACCTGCTGATAACCACCCTCAGAGCCTATGTCCATGCTGTGCTCTCTGCCTAAGGCTCTCTCCCTTGCTTCACACCTTGGAGCTTCTATTGGAAATTTAGGCCTGGCTACACCATCTCCTCCAGGAAGCCTTCCCTGGTAACTCCCTCCCCTAACCTTTTTTTTTTTTTTTTGCACTGGCATTTTTTGGATAGAGCCTGGGCTTTATGCATGCCTGGGAAAGACTCTGCCACTTAGCTATAACCCTAACCTAACCTGCCCCCCTCTTTTAAAGTCCCAGAAGAATATGTTTCACTTCCAGTTGTAGCAGGAGCTTTAGCGTGGTGGTTGTGAGGAGAGGTAACGGAACATGGAAGAGTGTTACCTCTACCAGAATGGAGACCGCTTAAGGACAAATATTCAGCACCCTTCCTTGGATCTCAGGCCAGCCTGAGACTCAGCAATGACCGCCGCTTATGAATAATAGCCACCAGGCCCCACAGACTGTATCCCCACATCCTAAAAGGGACAGAGAGCCCGGAGCCAGCACCTTAGGCACCTCCTGTAGCCATTCCACAGACTTAGTCTCCCTGGAGGCAGTGCCAGGCTGCTTGGTACCCTGATGACAGAATAGAACAGAGCCCTGTGCACACCAGCCCAGGCAAGCCCTGGGGGCCTCTGTCATTATGGCAGAAACGGTTGCTTGGCCTAGACTGCTGACACAGCACACTCCAAAGGCTTGTCCCAGCTTGCCCAGGGTGGGGACCGAGCAAGGGCAACCTACTGAGTGCCAGGGGGTGCTCTGGAAGGATTTTGGAGACCTGGCAGTGGTACCTTCCTCCTAGGTGAGATCCTGGGAGGGCTGTTGATGGCAGGGCTCAGCAGAGGGGCAGCATGGGGGCAGCCTAGGGAGTGGTGGGTGATACAGGGAAAAGAGTCCAAGAAGAGAGGTCCACACTGTCAGGATCCTGAGTAGGTGGGCTGGGGGGATAAGGGGCTCAAAACCGGCAACAAGGGAGACAGAGGTAGGTAATGGTTCCAGGTGCGGAGTCCCCGGGGCTGAGGGATTTGAGGTCTGAGCTCTGGGCCAAAGCATTGGATGAGGTACTCTGCTGGGTATAGGGTGACAGATATCTACATGGTCCAGGGGCCCTGTAGATCAATTCTGAGTACTTGTTTGAGCTTCTTGCAGCTTCTCACTTCAAAGCTGACCTGAGACCGTTAGGGGCTGGAGTAGGGAGAAGATTCAGTGTTGGATTTGGGAAACCTGCTATGTCGCAGGCCCAGGCTCTGGCTGTCCCGCCTGGCACAGACACCTCTTTCTGGTCTCCATTCTGGCTCAGCCCCCCTGCTGGCCACTCTGGCCTTTAGGATGTCCTGACACAGCCTAGTTCACTTTGCCCAGACATCTTCTGGGCACAGTAGGTAACCCTTGGCCCCAGTGATGGGAGAGAGGCCAGTGAGTTGTCTGGGCAGTGCTCAGTGGGGAGCGAGGAAGCTGGATCTTTTGCAGTCCCACTGAGCCAAGCCCAGAGAGAGAAGGGGCACCCAGCAATGACCTGGGCTCCTCTTCAGGCAGCCAAGCCCTGAGCTCCTGGTCCAGGGAAATGAGGACTCTCTTTAGAGGATGGTTTGAATGGCAGGCCCTGAGGATTAGGGGCCCCTGGCAAGAGAGGCAATGCTAGAAGGAAAGCATGGTCCCAAGGCCAGGGCTGTGAGGAGCATGAAGCCCAAGTGGCCCAGAGAACTGTGCCCTAGGACATCTATTTCCTGGAAGGGCCCCTGAGGGCCTTTCACCACAACCAGGCTGGATAGGCCCAGGTGTCCAGCTCCAGCACCGCCTCAGGCCGCCTGGCTCTGGAGGGGGCATCCTCTGCGCCTGCTGTCCACAGCGCCAGCTCTCAGCCCACAGAGGGCCCTTTGTTCTGACTGCCAGCAGAGCCCGCCGGGCAGCTGGGAACAGGGCCCACAGCCCTCACCCTCTCCCAAGGCCTCCAGCCATCGGGCAGTGCCATTCTAGGTTGGCCAGGAGGCCCCTGGCACACAGGACCAGTTCAGGAAACCATGTCCTAGGACTCAGAATTCAGGGCTCTGGTGCCACTCAGCTATGGGCCCAGATCACTCAAATGACCCTGGCTCCGCAGGTAGAGAAACCGAGGCCATAACAGCTTCCTTGGATTGGTCTGTATATGGGGACTTGTACTTTATGAGTTGTCCCATCAGGGTATCCTAGGAGTTCACGTGTCCACACACTACTCCACACCCCAAGGGCAGATCCAAGGAAGAGACGGGTCCCAGGGAGCCTTCATGTGCCTGTCTGTACTGCGTGACCCTGTCAAAGAGGTGCTATGGCCACTGGCTTCATGTGGGAGACTCGACCATGATTCCAAAGTTAACCAGAACCGACCCCTCCACAGACATCTGACTGCGAGAGCGGTGCTCCTGGGTGGTCTCTGAGCCATGGAGATTCCCCGACAGGCAGAGATGGTGGAGCTGGTGCCCAATGGCAAACACTTGGAGGGGCTTCTACCAGTGGGCGTGTCCACAACAAACACACAGAGGTAAGTAGATGAGGGGCCTGGTGGCAGCTCAGGGAAGCACAGGGCAGAGGCACAGTCATGGAACTGAGTCACACGTTCTGGCCTCTTCCTGCAGAGCTGAAGACCCCCAACACTGTGCAGAAGGCAAGGGCTTCCTTCAGAAAAGCTCCAGCAAGGAACCACATTTCACCGACGTGAGCTGAGCAGCATGAGGGATTTGGGGGCCGTGGGGAGGATGGACATAGTGATGATGCTCTCTTGGGAAGCCAAGAGACAATGAGGGAGAATGCCACACAGCCCCACTTATTGCCCACTCCCCTCTTTTCCCAACCCTTCTTTGGTACCTGCAGTTCGAGGGGAAGACGTCGTTTGGGATGTCCGTGTTCAACCTCAGCAACGCCATCATGGGCAGTGGCATTCTGGGACTTGCCTACGCCATGGCCAATACCGGCATCATCCTTTTCCTGTAAGTGCTCTGCAAACAGCCCTAAACAGCTGCCAGCCAGGACCTCCCAGGACCTCCCCGTTCTCTATCCAGTGGGTGGGCATGTCTTACTCTGCACCCAGTCCACTGCTGCAAAAACATCCACAGCCAGACAAACACACCTTACTGTTCTGCAAAGCCACAAGGCCAGCCCTACAGACCCGAGTCTGTTCTACCGCGTTTACACTTGATGGCTGAACCCTTGTGGCCAGGCCTTGTGTGGCCACACGTGCCCTTGATTTGGTGGCTCTGCCCTGAAGCCTGAATGGAAAACATGTTTGTCCCAAAGACTCAAGAAAAAAAGGTGCTCAGAGCACAGGCACGGGGCACCCTTGACCCAGAGGGCCCCACCTGGGTCACGTTGCTCCCTGGGTCAAAGAGAGTAGTGTTCGTATCTCTGGAGTCTCCTGACTTGCACCCGCTCCTCAGACATTGATGTCACAGACTCCTTTCTCCCAGTCTCCTTGAGCTCATCACTCCCTGCCAGCCAACCTTCACTGGTCCATTTTCCTCCACGTTCTCCAGGTTCCTTCTGACAGCTGTTGCCCTGTTGTCTAGCTACTCCATCCATCTGCTCCTCAAGTCTTCAGGGATCGTGGGTGAGCCTCTTGCAGGCCCAAAGAGGGTCAGGGCTGAGGTGAACTGGGGGAAGCTCCTTGTGCTATCCTGACATCTGGTTTCTACAGGCATCCGTGCCTATGAGCAGCTGGGCTACCGTGCCTTTGGGACTCCAGGGAAGCTGGCAGCAGCCCTGGCCATCACACTGCAGAACATTGGAGGTGAGGCTGGTGGTTGGGGCAGTGGGATGCAGAATGGGCTGGCTGGTCCAGCTGAGCTCACAACTGTCCCCCTATCTCTTCCCCCAGCCATGTCCAGTTACCTATACATCATCAAGTCTGAGTTGCCTCTTGTCATACAGACCTTTCTGAATCTGGAGAAGCCGACCTCGTGAGCCTGGGGAACGAGGGTGGGAAGCAATGGGTGCCCAGCTAGCCTGATAGGCAAGGCAGAAGCATGGCTGGTGGAGAGCAGAGAACTGCAGACAGAGCCATATTGGGTTCCTGTTTGTATGTGGTACATCCAGGGAAACCCCCAAGAGGGGACTTTTAGAACTAGGAAAGCTAGGGTCCATGTGACCCAGGACCCTGCACATAAGCAGAAGGGCCTCAGGCTTAACTCTAAGCACCTGCTATTCCTGACCATGGGGTCACCCCCCTCCCCGCCACTACCAAGAGATTAAGCCCAGGGCATGTGTGGGGGTGCCAACTACTTAGCCAGCAGCGGCTGGGCATCAGCCTTTCTTTGTGTTTGGGGTGGGGGAGAAGCTAACCCCACTCCTGACCACCCTGCGCCCGTAAGCAGAGGGGCCGTGTGATGGAGAACGGTGTAGAGAGATGAGAAAGAATTAGGATTCGGTATCTAGGATCCCAGGGACCTTTCCCAAGGAATTTGCCTTTGAATTTTCTCTAGAAGAATGAATGGTCCTGGTCCTTTTACCCTTATCTATGCCCCGTGTTCATTTCCAGGAAAGAGGAATAGTACAAAGATGCAGGTGCCAAGAAAGACCACAAGGGCCACAAGTTATTGGCAAGTCCCCGAGACCCCCCAGAAAAGCACAGACCCTTCCTGAGTCAGGTCCTTTCACCCTACCACCTCCCTCAGGAGGCGGGGCCCAGGCCTCTGTGTGCTTGGCAAACAGTGCCAGCAACTGCACTCATAAGGGGACCCACATAAGCTGTGTCCCAGTGCACCTGACACCCTCAAGAGTGTGACAATGAGCCCCCCTTTTTAGATAAAGCTCAGGGAGACTTAGAGTTATGGTTAAACATTGATCACAGGACACAATGTAGCATCACTGGTGTCTCCACCAGGGAAGAGCAGGAGGCCCCACTCCAGGCTGAGGAGGTTGTGACTGTGGCTTCCCACTCTTATTCCTTCAGGGTGTGGTACATGGATGGCAACTACCTTGTGATCCTGGTATCTGTCACCATCATCCTGCCCCTAGCACTAATGCGGCAGCTTGGTGAGTCAACAGGGTCAGCCGTAGAGGGTTGTGGAGGGACACTCAGAAGGAACCCTGAGTCTCACAGTTCCCTCCTTGGCAGGTTACCTAGGCTACTCCAGTGGCTTCTCTCTCAGCTGCATGGTGTTCTTCTTGATTGCAGTAAGCCACCCGCCATGTTGGTCAGGAAAGAGTAATCGCCCAAGGGAGTCCTGGAGGGACTGGGGTGGGGGTAGGACCTCTTGGAAGCCAAAGTGAAAAAGCAGCTCTTCTAACCTGGAATATGGCTTCACGGTGACTTTGCAGGCAGCCAGACACTGACACCCTCACCCTTCTCCACCCCAGGTCATCTACAAAAAGTTCCAAGTTCCCTGCCCATTGGCACACAACTTGGCCAATGCCACAGGCAACTTGAGCCACATGGTGGTATTGGAGAAGGCACAGCTACAGGACGAGCCTGAGGCTGCAGCCTTCTGTAGCCCAAGCTACTTCACACTCAACTCACAGGTACCGATAAGCAAAGCTGGGCCAGGGAAGTGGGGAGAGGGTCTTGGGGGGAGGGCCGTCTTGACATAGTTCTGTGTGTCTCCAGACAGCATACACCATCCCCATCATGGCTTTCGCCTTCGTCTGCCACCCTGAGGTGCTGCCCATATATACAGAGCTCAAGGAGTAGGTGTCTGGGGCTGGGAGAGGGATGCTGGCTGCCTTGATGGTCTGGAGAGAATGGATGTGGTCTTGGATATGTGTCTGGAGGGGGAGGGGACGAGACCCAGGTCACCAGACCAAAGATCTCCATGGTTGATAAGAGTGAACATTAGGATCTGGGCAGTGGTGGTGCACACCTCTAATCCCAGCACTCTGGAGGCAGAGGCAGGTGGATCTCTGTAAGTTCGAGGCCAGCCTGGTCTACAATGTGTGTTCCAGGACAGCCAGCACTATTACACAGAGAAGCCTTATCTAAAAAAAAAAAAAAAAAAAAAAGAGTAGGAAGAGTAGGAATTAGAGAAGACTTTGTCACTGCTGAAGAGAGAAAGTGGTGCCAGAGAGACCCTCAGGTATATGCAGTTACCGCAGGGTGGCTCGGCTTGTCACCACACCCCCTCTACTGTCTGCAGCCCTTCCAAGAAGAAGATGCAACACATCTCCAATCTGTCCATTGCTGTCATGTATGTCATGTACTTCCTGGCCGCCCTCTTCGGCTACCTCACCTTCTATGGTATGGCTGGATCAGCATGGGTGGGATCAGAGGCGAGGCTGGGAGGCAAGGGCTGGTCAGTGGCCATAGCGCCCTGAATACTGTAGGCACTCACTAGATGTGTGATGCCTGACTATGTCCTGCAGCTGTGGAGGTGAGTCTGAGTGCCACTCCCCACAGTGTCAGGGTCCACCGCCCCCTGGCCTGCTGACCACCCTCCCTGCCTGCCACAGACGGGGTGGAGTCGGAGCTGCTGCACACCTACAGCAAGGTGGACCCATTTGATGTGCTGATCTTGTGTGTGCGGGTGGCCGTGCTGATAGCTGTCACACTTACTGTCCCGATTGTTCTGTTCCCGGTGAGCCAGCGGACAGGTGATGGGGCTAGTGCAAGGGAGGGTCTCATGGGGGCCACCGGACTGATGGCTCTTCCCATCTGCCCAGGTACGACGTGCCATCCAGCAGATGCTGTTTCAGAACCAGGAGTTCAGCTGGTTGCGGCACGTGATCATCGCCACCGGCCTGCTTACTTGCATCAACCTGCTGGTTATCTTTGCCCCCAACATCTTGGGCATCTTTGGAATCATTGGTGAGAGTCTGGCCGTACTGTACAAGTAGGAGAGTGTCCCAGAGAATCTCACTTCTACACATTCTGGTAGACACACCTACATTTAAGTGACAGTTGTCCACCATGTACATGGTTTAGCCTCCAACCTGAACTCTTGGTTTTTTTGTTTGGTTTTGGTTTTTCGAGACAGGGTTTCTCTGTGTAGCTTTGGAGCCTATCCTGGAACTAGCTCTTGTAGACCAGGCTGATCTCGAACTCACAGAGATCCGCCTGCCTCTGCCTCCTGAGTGCTGGGATTAAAGGTGTGCGCCACCACCGCCCAGCCTGAACTCTTGTTTTTAAGGCTATTGCAATCCATTTTGAAGACTCAAAACCACTGAGTCAGTCCTCTTTAATAGATAATGGGATGGACCCTAGGACCAAAGTCTTCACAGAGGACCTGGCATGGTAGTGTGTACCTGTAATCTTAGCTTGAGAGGATGACACAGGAGAATCACTTGAGCCCAGGTGTTCAAGACAAGGCCAGGCAGCATAGCAGGATACTTATGACAACAAAAGAACTCATCATGTCTTACCCCCATTTTACATATGGGGAGGACTAAAGTCCAGAGTGATCAAAGGAACATAAGAGCTGCAGTTGGTGAGCGGAGAGTCCCGATTCAGCCATGACACTATCAGACTCTAAGCTTGGTGTCTGTCCTACCCCAGCTGATGCTGCAAGGTTTTGAGCTAGAAAATTAGACAATTCTGAAACATCTTTGGGATGATCCAAGTTTGATTCCTTGACCCTACTCTTCAGTCCACCTCACTGATCTGGGTGCTAAGAACTGGGAGTGTCTTGAAAAGACTCTTGTTTCAAGTCTGTGCTGAACTGGAGTCAACAGATAGACATGCACTATTGGCATGATGGAAAAGTCTCTTGGGGACCTTAGTGTTAGTCAAGTTAGTGCTTAGTCACTGTAACAGAGCACCTGAGGCAATTCACTCATAGAGGCAATGCAGGACTGGTGAGCATGGGTGCTTGCCTCCAAGGACTGACAACTTGAGTTGGATCCCCAGAACTCACATGGTGAAAGAAGAGAACCGACTCCTACAGGTTGTCCTCTGACCTCCATGTGTGTTCAGTGACATACATACACAAAGCAATATATATATACAAATATATATATATATATACAAATATATATATATATAACAATATATATATACAAAACAATAAATGTAAAAGTCAAAATAAAAAAAGAGAAAAGGTTCAGGAGCTGGGGACATAGCTTAGTTAGTACAGGGTTTGCCTGGCTATGTGTGCAAGTTGCCCAGGTTAGAGTCTAGCAGTGGATAAACAAGGTATTGCGGCACCTGCCGATATCCCCAGCATTGACAAGGTGGAGGCAAGAAAACCGGGAGTCCAAGGTCATTCTTGGCTATATAGTATGAGGCTATCCTAGGATAGCCTTGTCCCCAGACAAACAAACAAACAAACAAACAAACAAACAAACAGGCTTATTTTGGCTCATACTTTGACATGCTCCAGCTATCATTGGCTGGTGCCGAAGGATTTGAGGGCTGTAGTGAGATAATAGACATCATGACCTAAGTGTGTGGCAGAACAAAACTGCTTACCCCATGGCCAAGAACTAAAAGGGAAAGAGGGGCAGATCCAAAGCCTTACGATTCCCTTAGCGGCTCATTCCCAAAGTCCTCCCACAGGCTCCGCCTCCTAAAGGTTTGCCCTTCCAAACAGCTCCAACCTAGACACCCCACCACCCAACACTTGGGCCTTCTAAGAGCATTCGAGATCCAAATTATAACAACCTGTGTTAGGAAGCCAGGATCATTAGGAAGCTTCATTGTAAGCTTCATTCCCTTACATTTTTCTGACCCACCAACGCCATCAGCCGTGCAGCCTGGTGGATAGAGGACATGCGGGAAAGGCTGGTGGACTCCCCTAGAATCAGGCAGAGCTCTCACAACATAGAGAAGGCTTGGTCTCACTGAGCGTCCACCTCAGACCTTGGCTGTTGCTATGCTCTGCTTTTTGCAGGCGCCACATCCGCTCCGTGCCTCATCTTCATCTTCCCCGCCATCTTCTACTTCCGGATCATGCCCACTGAGAAGGAACCTGCTAGATCCATCCCTAAAATCCTGGTAGGAGGGGCCTGGAAGCCGGTGGGTGAGGGCAGGGCTGAGGGAACTCTCCTCATCATCTCAGGCTCTCATTTCTGCTGCTCAACAGGCCCTTTGCTTTGCTGCGGTTGGCTTCTTGCTGATGACCATGAGCTTGAGTTTCATCATCATCGACTGGGTCTCGGGGACCAGCCAGCATGGAGGACACCATTAGGATGGCTCCCATCTTGCTCTGTCTGTTCATCCCAGCACCCCGCCCTTACTCTGCAGCCCCTGCTCCCGGTCAGGGGCTCAGTAAGGGGAGAAAGACACTGTAAATACTACGGCATTTGGCTCCACCCATATCCTCTGGAAGGTTTTTGTTGAAGAGCCAGGACCGAGGCCCTTGGACCACCCCCCTGCTGGGCCCCAGAGCTGCAGGGGCTTCCTGAGCTAGGAACAGGGTGGGGCTGTTGCCTCAGATCCCACCGAAACCCTCCATCCTGCTCCCACAGCTGTGTACACCGAGCCCAGCAGCCATCTCCTGAGGTCACACAGACTGTAGGGGCACACAGAGTCAGGACCCAGGCCTGAAGACATCCCCGGGCCTGCCAGGAAGCCATAGTTTACACCCTGAGGGTTCATCCCCAGCCTGCTGACCTCCCAGCCCCTTCTCCCACACTTGGGCCCAAAATCTAGGAAACTCTTGTCCTCTTCTTGCGACTCCTTCATAGGAGGAGACCATATCGGGGGCTGGTATGCACCCCAAGGGATCCCTGCTGTGGACCTTCACCAGTCCTGGGGAGGCTGGGACTCCCACACCTCAAACCTGGGCCATGACTTGCATTCCACTACCGGGAGAAGGGAGGCTGGGCCCAGAATATCCTGCCCTTAGGAGTCAAAGACCCCAGGAGCCAGACTGGCACAGAGGTGGGGAGGCTGGCCTTTTATAAATATTATACATAAGACCCATTATGTTTTATATTCTTGGTCTCCGTAGTCCTCGGGGCTCTGGAAAGTAGGATAGGGCTCAGTAAGGGTATGGATGGCACTGGGGTTCTCCTGTCTGCTTCCCTGCATGGGAGTGGGAACTGGGCAAGACCCCCTACCCCCACCTCACCTCCTGTCTCTCAGACCAACCAGAGGCATGCTCAGACCCAGCTCTGGGCCCGGGCCAAGTTCAGCACAGACCTGCTTTCTCACGGGGTGAGGTGGGGAGGAATTAATGAGGCCCCAGGAAATGGGACAGAGAGAAGCTTGCGGAAGGAGGCAACGTGAGGAGCATCCCCAGCAGCTCCAGACAGGGTCTGAGCTGGGGGCGGCTGAGCCTTGCAGAAACCTCAGGAAAGGGTCCCTGCAGTCCACCAGCTCCCAGGCTACTTGTCAACCCCGTGTCAGTGCCTTGAAGCTGGAGACAAAACTTCAGGGATGCTTTCCTTGCAGGACTGTTCTTTTTATTGACAATAAACACCTCTATGGATAAAGGTCGGGTAGCGAGTCTCAGTGGAGTTAGGGTAGTCCTAAGTGGCTAAGGGAGAGGGAAGTTCAAGGCAAGGCAGGGACTTCAAGGAGGCCGGGCAGCTCCAGGTATCCTGGCCCAAGTGGGACTGGGAAGCTGCCCACTGCAATGAGCAGGACTGAATCAGCTACAGCCCTGAGGGATGGAAGTGCCCAGGCCTTGGCACCAAATCCTCATTAGGAAAGACCCTGCACCAGCCTAGGCCACCAGCGAAAGGACAGCAAGAAAAATCCAGTTTGAACTTGAAAGGCAATTGCCAGCTTGGGAAAACCCTGAAGAAAGAACTTCTTCAAGCTGGTGGCTGCTTGGACCATAGCCATGCCAGCTAGCAGAGGGGAGCTTCCTGAGTCCCATCAGTCCTAGGTGCCTGACTTCAACCATGGAGCCCCATGGCCACAAGAAAAAAATCTGGATGCTGGCCTGACATTAGGTGCAGTCTAAGGTACTCTGTCAGGAGGAACTGTCCACTGGGGGTCACTGGGCTCTTCTCCAGTCTTGCCTGGATTGCCTGGCTCCGGGGAGTGAGGGATAATCAAGGGTAGAGTCTATCCTGTGGGCAGACCGCAGAGCCTTTTTACATCCTCTATTCAAAGGAGGACACAGGACAACACAGCCATGGGACAGCAGCCAAGGCTCGGGCTTCTCTGACCAGATGTGGTAACAGTAGCCCCCATACAGAGCCAGGGTGTGCAGGGGGACCCTCACCCCAGAGCTCTTCTCTGCTTGCTCAGCCTGACCACAGGTGGCAGGCTGAAGTAGGAGCGGGCCAAGTGATGCAGGCACTGTACTAGATTCGAGAGCCATGGACCCACAAGGCTGTGAAATGAGTATTCCCGTCACTGGCTGCCAAGTCCAGTGACATGGTGATTCAGACTCCATAAGGAAGGCCATAGCTCTTGGGACACCATTATGGATTACTGTATGTTTGAATAGCTTCCTAGATTTTCCCCTTCTTTATGCTTCTGAGGGAAAAAAAAAAAAAGAAAGCTCTATACTTGGAAGCTCAGGATAGAGTACTTGTCTAGCATGTGTGAGGCCCTTAGTTCAACTTACAGCAACACACACACCCGCACAGACATATGCACACACGCACACGTGCATATACTCAGAGGCTCTGAAAAATAATTTGTTTTATTTGAAATATTGATGTTACAGCACCCCAAAAGTCTAGCAGATGTGCCATTTGTATTTTCTTCACTTTTCTCTCTTTTTTTCTGATGCGGGATGGAAGATAAGATCTCACCGTGTAGGCTCAAGCTAGACTCAGACTTCCAGTTGTCCTCAGAGGTGGGACGACAGGAGTGGGCCACTGTACCCAACTCACATTGCTTATCATTGTCTTCTAATGACTGCTGGTCGTGGAAAAATAAGAATATACTTAGCACTGGATAGGGCAGGAAAATTCCAAGTTTAAATCCAGCCTGGGCTACGTAGTGAGACCAAAAAGGGGCTGGAGAGATGGCTTGGAAGAGCGCTGGCTGCTCTTCCAGAGGTCCTGAGTTCAATTCCCAGAAACCACATGGTGGCTCACAACCATCTGTAATGGGAACTGATGCCCTCTTCTGACGAGCAGGCATACATGCAGGCAGAACACTGAATACGGAATAAATAAATAAATCATTCTCCAAGGTTTTGTTTTGTTATTGTCATGTTGGATATTGAATCCAGGGTCCCATGTATGTTAGGTGAGTATTCCACAATAGAGCTGTATTTCTAGTCTATTTCTGGGGAGGGTGCTGGGGTCAAACCTAGGGATTCATACATATTAGGCACAGGGTCCTCTACCATGTTGAAGTCATCCCCAAAATATATTTATGGAGACTTTTCACAAACACTCTTTTTGCTGCTACTGCTGTTGTTGTTTTGAGACAGCTCTGGCTGTCCTGGAACTCTCTTTGTAGACCAGGCAGGCCTCAAACTCACAGAGATCTTCCTGCCTCTGCTTCCCAAGTACTGGGGTTAAATGCATAGGCTGCTACCACCACCTGACTGCCAAACACTCTTTTTTTATTTGTTTTGTTTTGTTTTTCAAGACAGGGTTTCTCTGTGTAGCTTTGGAACCTATCCTGGCACTTGTTCTGGAGACCAGGCTAGCCTCGAACTCACAGAGATCCACCTGCCTCTGCCTCCCGAGTGCTGGGATTAAAGGCCTGCAATTTCTAGCACTGACATGGCAGCTCACAACTGTCTGTAACTCCAGTTCAAGGGAACCTGACACCCAACGGCAAAATACCAATTTACATTAAATTATTATTATTATTATTATTATTAAAATAAAGAAAGAAGATGCCTTTAATCCCAACACTCAGGAGGCAGAGGCAGACAGATCTCTAAGTTCAAGGTCAACCTGGTCTACAGAGTGAGTTCCAGGACAGCCAAGGCTACACAGAGAAACCCTGTCTCAAAAGCAAACAAACAAACAAATAGATGTTTAGTACTGGAGAGAACAAAAACCTCAAAAGATAGGGAGGAGATGGAGAGACAGGTCATAAGGTGAGCCAGGATGGCCTCGCTGAAGATGGACTTTGCTTCAGAAATTCCGAAGAAACCATGTAGAAATGTTCAGGGAACAAGCAGGAAGAAGCTCAGGAGACTGTTCCAGTCAGCAGGACCAACCAAAGGAAAGCCTTGAGGTCCTTGTGCCCTAGCGTAGGAGGGACAGCCAGGAGGTCCTGAGGCTGGGCCTGGGGAAGCAGAGGAAAGCGTCCAGTGGGCACTGAAGAAGGGAAGTACCCTGGGGCCTGTCAGCCACTGCAGGATGTTTGGACTTTTTTGCAGCATGAGAACAATGCCAGGCCCCTAAATGAAAGGGAGTAAGATCTGATTCAGTGGTAACTCTAAGGGGTTTAGTTTTTTTTTGTTTGTTTGCTTTGCTTTGCTTTGCTTTTTGCTTCTTTTGTTTGTTTATTTTGCTTTCTGTATGGGGCTGTGATTTTTTTGTTTTGTTTTGTTTTTCGAAACAGGGTTTCTTTGTATTGCTTTGGAGGTTGTCATGGAACTCCCTCTGTAGACCAGGCTGGCCTCGAATTTAAAGATTCACCTGCCTTTGCCTCTGAGTGCTGGGATCAAAGGCATGCACCACCATGCCTGGCTGGTTGGTTGATTTTCAGTACTATTTATTTATCTATTTACTTTTAATGTGCATGTGAAAATGTGTACCACATGCATGTCCAGTGCCTGAGGAGGTCACAAGAGGGCATCAGATCACCTGGAACTGAAGTTAACAGATGGTTGTGAGCTGCCTTGTGGGTGCTGGGAATCAAATCAGGCCCCTCTACAAGAGTAGCCAATGTTCTTAACTGCTGAGCCATCTCTCCATGTCCCTCTTGTGACAAGCTCTTGATGTGTAGCCTTCATTAGAATGGAACTCCCTCTGTAGAGCAGGATGGCCTTGCACTCCTAGAGGTCCGCCAGCCTCTGCTTATCCAGTGCTGGGATCAAAGGCGTGCGTTACCACACTCAGCTAGTAAGTCTGCTAAACAGATCCATCTAGTTGCTGAACTGAGAGATGGATCAGACGTTTAGAGTCTGGACCGCTATTCTGGAAGAGCCAAGTTTGATTCCCAGTATCCACATCAGGGGGCTCACAACTGCCGGTAACTCCAAGGTTCCAAAGCCTTTGCCCTTCTTAGGCACTTCATACACTTTTTTTTTTTTTTTTTTTTTTTTTTTTTTTTTTTTTTTTGGTTAATCTAGATAGGGTTTCTCTGTGGCTTTGGAGGCTGTCCTGGAGTCCTGGAGACCAGACTGGCCTCAAACTCACAGAGATCCACCTACCTCTGACTCCCGAGTGCTGGGATTAAAGGTGTGCGCCACCAATGCCTGGCCATACACTTATCTTTTAAGTTTAGAAAGTGAAATGAAAAGAGAAGGAAGAAAGAAATGAAGACAGACGGACTAGAAAAGACTGCTGGAAAGAATAGAAATGGAAGTGCTTAGCTCAGTGATGAGCTGGAGCTGGTAAAGGGTGCTGGAGAAACTGAGCGAGGAGACAGTGTTGGGTTTGATGTAGCTGGAAACCTCCTGACTAAGTACAGTAGCTAGTGTACAGCGAGTGCCAGATGAGCCCTCACAGTGGGAGCGCGTGGGAAGACCCTGGAGGGCAGGTGCAGGAGTCTCCCTTGACCCCAGTGTGAAGTCTAAGCAAATGGCTTTCTTTCAAACAGCTTACAGCAGTGATGCTTGATTACAAGTGAGTGACAGAAAAAATATTCCTGAAAGGAGAGCTGAAGGAACAAAAGTGCTGTCAGGGAGTTGGAGAAGGCTCAGCAGTTAAGAGCACCTGTTCTTCCACAAGTCCTCAGTCAGTTTCCAGCACCTACACTGGTGACTCACAGCTACTTGAAACTCTGACTCCAGGTATCTGACACCTTCTTCTGATCTCCATAAGAGCCTGCTC